GTGGACCAGTCTTAACTTTATAAAGAATATCTCTTTGGGTTTGAGACTTTAGTCTTTACAACTTTAGGAATCTTATCTATTCACGAACAGCTTGTAACACTCCAAAGAGAAGGGAAAACTTGAAATTGCATCATATGACCCCTTTAAATTACAATAATATTTACTGTATAACATACTGTAGGCTATATAGTTTTTACTTACCCAACAGACCAGCCACCTCATAGGCTTTCCTTTGCTCAATGGTTTCATAGTTCAGAGCCTCAAAGAACACGTCCAGCACTAGAACATTCTCCCTGACAGCACACAAAACCCGGTTTAGCATGATTTTGACAGTCCAGTATGGAAGATTATACATTAAAATGCTAAAGTGACACATTATCCAACACTTTTGTCTTTTTGAACATGCACAGCACACTGTAGTCACTGGTATCTACACAGTTAATCAATTAATGGTGCAGTATGTAACCCGGTTGAAACGGGTACTGCTGTCTAAATTCAGAATACTGGAGAGCGTTGTTTCTCCCATTCTTCTCAGACTCAACACTCACGCGGGCTGCCAGATTACGAACATGCAACAGGAACCAGTACAACTGACAATGGATGGCGACAAGCCTTAAACTGAAAGTTGAGGAGTTGAATTATCCACGTTTTATTATGTCTCTGAGCTTTTTAGATGGATGCCAAGGCTTTTAGGTCGGGTAGAATCTGCGATCTCTGACCCAGTTCCATGGCTGCAATACGTTATTTTTTTCACCAACTGGCAAGCCGTGGTGTTGAAAAACTATTGGTTAAATTGGCAGTGGGCGGAACCACACAAACCAAAACAAAAACAGACATTCCGACACAGAACACACATTTCAAAGTAGCATAACTGTCTGTAGCATTGTTTTTCGGAGAAACATGTAAGTGAACTCCTTATGTTTTCTAAATAAATGCAGACCTTATTGTAAAGTGTTACCAAAAAACTAATAAACTGTCAAAAGCACATAACAAAATGACTAAAATGTAAACTAAAAATTAAAATGAAAACTGAAAATATAAAAATAAACTGAAAATATAAAAGTACTATAATACCATACAAATAATACTTAAATAACACTAGTTCATAAATGCACATGTACAATCAAATAAATAAGTGTGGCTACATTTCGTAAAATCATAAGCTCTCCCATTATCTTCATTTTTTTACCGTGTTCTTGCGCATCATAACGAATATTCAATGGCCAGATTCCTTACTGCAGATATAAATTGCCTCGAGTTAAAATCCCACACTAATATATGTTAATTTAGCTTTTTGTAATCAACTAAATTGCATTTCAGTGCCAGTGGCGGTTTAACAGGAGCAGGTTTAATTTGGTTTCACTGGCTTGATTAACTTGACCTCAAAGCAGCTGGGAACTTCGCTGCTTTTTAGAGACAGATACTTGAAGTACTTATACAAGTACACATCAAAATACCTGCTAGTATGTTATAAATGTGATTATTAAGCACAATTACTGTAACTATAAGCGTGCTATCATTAAAGACTTTGTATAAAGGTGAGGATGTGTGGTTTCAGTCCCATTATATAAATGCATTAAGAAAATGAGAAGGCCATAGACAGCGTAATTTTAGTATTATTTTATTTATATACTGTTATTGTATTTAGTAATATGTTGAATTAGCTTTTATTTTTATATTTTAAATGTAATTTTAGTCATTTTATGTGCCCTCGCAATTTTTATTAGTTTTTGTAATATTTAGTAAATTCTTTTTTATTTCAGTTTTAGTTGAAGCAATTTTAGTACTTCACCTTATTTATTTCAATTTCCTTTTGTTACCAACTATAATATTAAGCTTTTAATTTATTTCAGCATTATTTCAATTATCAAAATCACTTCAATAGTTTTAGTCAACAGCAACAACACTGATAACAGAAGACACTGATGTTTTAGTATACTCTAAAAAATGCTGGGTTGTTTCAACCCAATGTTGGGTCAAATATGGACTAACCCAACTGTTGGGTTAAATTTTGGTTACATTTTTAAATTAGCTTTTTAACCCAACAGTTGGGTTAGTCCATATTTGACCCAACATTGGGTTGAAACAACCCAGCATTTTTTAGAGTGTATTATTTATATATTACAGTATTTGTTGAAATTTAGAATTTGCTTTTCAATTTTATATTTCCCATTTGCATTTTAAGTTCAGTTTAAGTTTTCATCATTTTATCATGTACTTTTGTCATTTTTATTAACTTTTTATATATTTATAGCTTGTGGTATATAGCTTATATATATATATATATATATATATATACACACACACTATATATAGTGGAATATAGTATATAGCGTTTTATTTTTGTAATTTTTGTACTTCAACTTATTTCAGTTAGCTGCTAAGAAAACATTTCTAATTTTCATTTAAGTTTTAGTTTTTCATCTAATATTTATGTTATTTCAGCTTTATTTCAATTACCAAATATGTATTTTTAATAGTTTTAGTTTTTAGTAATTTAGTAATAACAAGAGATAAAGTTATGCCAGTAGATAAGTAGATAAAGCCATCATGTGAAGCAATTTGAGATTTTATTTCACAGCACAAACAATGAATGAACCTGTTCACCATTTCATGGACTCTTCTGAACTGTATCATTACAGTAACTGCAGTATTAGAGTAAAATGCTTTAAATGTTGTACTGCCGAGTGAATGTGAAGTGCTGCTGTAGTCGGTGCAGTGACTCACCAGGCATATGCACCATACGGCAGTTGCAGTTTTCCACCAGGTAGCGCGTCTCGCAGTCTGTTCGACAGGCGCTGATGCTGTACGCTTTGAAGTAATCCGAGCTCGGCGGGGTTGACTTGCAGCTGCCCCATGGAGCAGGAAGATACACCAGCTAGAATAGAAATAGTAGTAGTGTAAAAAACAAAACAAAAACAACAACAACAGAAAAAAACTCTCAATTTAAAGTGCTTATTAACATGACACCCACTCGCTGCTCTTGGCAAGAAACGAACGTCTGGAATCCTGGTGCGACTCCGAAGCCCAGCTGATCTATAAATGCAGGCTCGTCCTGACTGTGAATCTGAACTTTGATTCCCGCCTCAAACGACGAGTCGTCTGTGAGAGGAAAAAGAGAGAGTGAGAGGAAGAATATAGCATGATCTGTTTGTTCCTCGTGCAGTCTCACCTGTCTCTCCCCACACAGGTAAATATTCGTCCTGCTGAATGTCCAGCATGATCTCCAGGCCGTTTCCCATCCCTCCCTTCACGCTGACCAGCGGCGCGCCGGTGTTACCCGAGTTGAAGCTGTAACATTTCCCGTAACGTGTGAATACCTGAAAACACATAGAAGGAAACTAATGCATACCTTTTATATTAATGTTTTGTCTCTAATTTTGTTGTTTATTTCTATTGGGCCAAAGAGTGGAAATAGCGGCATTTTCAGTGCCATTTCTTGCACAGAAAACCTTTTATTTTTACATAATTTGAAGATAATGTGAGAGATGCTTGCCCGTGCCAAAGTCTGCTTAGTTTGGGAAGAATATTCGAGTGTTTCTTTTTCACTATTTAGGTCTAAATAAATAAATTAATAAATAATCTACCTCATCAGATGGTTCATATACTACAATAACAAAAAAACGATAAATAAATATAAATTTTCTATAATATATTTGGTATTTTTATATTCAACATTCAAATGTTTGGGATTGAAAAGTCTTTTCTGCTCACCAAGGCTGCATTTATTTGACTAGAAATGCAGTAAATTGTCATTTTAATATTCTGAAATATTATTAGAATTTAAAATAGCTATTTTCTATTTGAATATATCTTAAAATAGAATTTATTTCCGTGATGCAAAGCTGAATTTTCAGCAGCCACTGCTCCATGCAGTGTCACATGATCCTTCAGAAATGATTTATTGGTCAATAAATATTTCTTATTATTATCAATGTTGAAATAAAACAGCTTCATATTTCAGCATTTATTTGAAATAGAAATCTTTTGTAACATTACAAATGTCTTTACTGTCACTTTGAATCAATTTAATGTGTTCTTGGCAACATTTATATTCTGTATATTGCGCAGCTTATTTGGTCAAGATAACTCGACAAAAATGCTAAATAATAACTTTTGTAATGTGGGGATCATGAGACAAATAAATAATGATTTCTATTCAAGATTTTCGACTGGTTCTCAACTGCTTTTGCTTCCAGACTCTGATCATATTATATTACACATTATATTACCTGGCTGAAACGGTAAAAATGTATTAAGATTTCCACAATATTTAATCGTCCAGCTTCACAGGCCAAATAATAAGCACTATCTTAACATGACAGTTGCTTTTTATGGTTTTCATTTTTGGTTTTCCCCTGCTGTCAGAAAAGACGTACAGCTACACTGAAACGATCTGAATGAAATAAAGAGATATTACAGGAGTTGTAACAATTCTGCACACTGCTAGTTAAACACCCTATTCTTGAAAACTGACATGAGACATAAACAATGAGAGAGCAGGAGAGGAATAAAAAAAAATGAAAAAGTTCATTGTAGACCAGCTGAGAGTTATTAAAGGGAGCCGGTTCCTATGGAAACAGAGACCCAAGTGTGAAAAACACAGAAACGCTTGCACGAACACACACCAGACTCGGTCCTCTCGCTGTGTTCTCTTTGATTCGTTAATGTGTTAAGACATTTCCCTTTGAGTACGACTCTATCTGTGTTGACCTCCCCTGCTGTCCACACCAGCATCTATTAGTGAACTCAGCGCGTCCTCCTGAGTGCATTCTCGACAGCAGGCGAGTGAGGCGTCTTCTTTTTCGTGCTTTACGGCGGATCACAGACTTACAAGTGCATTATCGCCACCTATCTCTCAAATAGACCATTGACACTCTATCTACAATCTCAATTAGGAGTGTCAATGGTCCACTTGAGAGATAGGTGGCGGTAATGCACTCCGCCGTAAGTCTGCGATCCGCCGTAAAGCAAGAAGAAGACGCCTCACGCGCCTGCTGTCGAGAACACGCTCAGGAGGACTAGTGATGGGAAGTTCGGATCATTTTACCAACTCGGACCTTTGAGTCTCAAGAACAAATTGAACGAATCTTTTTTCGAGTCATTTCGTTCATTTTAACAAAATATAATTACAATGTTACGTGTTACTTCCCTAACACGTCTACTACTTGCGCAAACGTTGATCACACTACAAACAATACAAAACTGCAATAAGAAACAGAAAAGATTAATTAATTGTTTACCTGGGTCTTCAGTCTATGATTAGCTCACCTCACCTCTTATCTGACAAGTCTTCGGGTTTGGGCTTATGGGGCTGTCACGTGATGAACGAACGACTCGGAAAAACCCGAAGACTCGAAACAAACTACTTGACTAATTCCAGTACAGAACCTATAGGATGTTGCGCATGCGCGACTGAACGAATCACTCCCCGAGACGACTCGTTCTTCCCGAGTCACATTAAAGATTCGTTCAAAACGAACGAATCGTTCAAGAACGACCCAACACTAAGGAGGACGCGCTGAGTTTAGACAGTTCGGACATTGCAATCAGAGGTAAAAAACGATATAAATACTATTCGGTTTCTTGCACAGACCGATCGTTTTGTGTCTTAACACATCAATGTATCGTCACGAGCCGCAGGGTTTAATTTGGTTTTGTTTGTGTATGTTTTTTTTTACTCCCAAAGCCGTGATTCCCATTCACTTCCATTATAAGACTGATAGACTGCAACGGTTTGAGTTCAAAATCTTCGTTTGTGTTCTACTGAAGAAACAAAGTCACCTACATCTTGGATGCCCTGGGGGTAAGCAGATAAACATCACATTTTCATTTTTGGGTGAACTATCCCTTTAAGTTATGCATTTTGCATTGACTAACACTGAGAAAAAGCAGCTCTCTCAACAAAGAGAAATCGAAGGAGATAACAACAAAAGACTGTTCAAAACTTTGGGGTCAGTAAGATTAGATTTTTTAACAAGGATTATATTAAAGACTATTATGGATTTTGAAAATTACCTTTCATGACGTGAGGCCAAGTATGGTGACCCATACTTGGAATTAGTGCTCTGCATTTATCCCATCTAAAGTGCACACACACAGCAGTGAACACACACACACACACAGTGAACACACACCCGGAGCAGTGGGCAGCCATTTTTTTGCTGCAGTGCCCGGGGAGCAGGTGGGGGTTCGGTGCCTTGCTCAAGGGCACCTCAGTCGTGGTATTGAAGGTGGAAGAGAGCGCTGTACATTCACTCCCCCCACCTATAATCCCTGCCGGTACGAGACTCAAACCTGCAACCTTTGGGTTACGAGTCCGACTCTCTAACCATTAGGCCACGACTTCCCCCATGCAGTGTGTAACTGCATTCCCACAACTCCACATCCCATTCATGCAGTGTGTAACACAGCTCTAAGTGAATGAAAACATCCTGCAAAGTTTTAAATCTGTAAGTGCACCGTGTATAAAGTTATTGTCTCTCAAAAGAAAGAGCCGACTGAATCATTGAAACGAGTCGTTTTTAAAACGAATCCCAAGCCGTTTCATGTTGACGTCAAAGTGAAACATTAGCATATTGCCGCCCACTTGTCGGTCTTTTCGTGTTGGTCTGAATGAAGATACAGATTCATTCTTTGCCACTAGGTGCCGCTTTTGGAGCTGTAAAATAGCGGTTTCCCCGGTAACACTGTACACAAAGCAGCACTGCGCTTACAAACACTGCTTTATCAGGCATTAGAGGCATGAAAATGAAAATGAGACCAATCGGAACAATCACCGCAGATTAGCGTCACGCAAAGGAGGGGTTTGGAAAAATGAATCGTTGAGCGAATACCAAAACCAAAATATGAATTTTTCATTACCCATAATAGGGGCACTTTAAATTGATCAAAAGGGACACTAAAGACTTTTATGACGTTACAAAATTGTTCTATTTCAAATAAACAATGTTCTTTTGAACTTTCTATTAAATTTAAGAATCCCAAAAATAAATGTATCATTATTTCCACAATGTTTTCAGCAGTGATAATAATATACGTATGTTTCTTGAGCAGCAAATTGGCATATCTGAATGATTCTGAAGGATCATGTGACTTTGAAGACCGCTGAAAATTCATTTTTTTCACTTATGTTCAAATACAAAGCAGTTATTTTATTTCAGAATACTACTGTTTTTACTGTAACATTTAAACAAATAAATGCAGCCTTAGTGAGCAAAAGAGACTTTCAAAAGCATTAAAGAAATCAGATTTTTATAAGTATCGGGTTTCTACGATTTTTCTCCTAACAAAAAGACCCAAATCTCAAAAATGTCTCAAACTGTACCCAGATTTGCCAAAATACTAATTTAAGCAAACAATCTTAAGAGATCTTATTATGATCTCAAATATTTCTCAATTTCTTTGAAGACGAAATTTGAGCATCTACCCACAATGATTTTAGAGCTGTATGCTCCTACAGTATGTCAAAAACGGTCTTATTTGTATCTATTTTTTATTTTACTAAGAAAGAGAGGAACCATCTCAGACAATACAACATCTCTGAGCAAAACAAATTCTCTGGAGCGGTCTTGAAATGTGTTTTTAACTCTACATACAGACACAACATCCTAAAAATACCGCATTCATGGCACAAGACAGCGAGATGCATCATAACACATCCATTTAACGCATGTTCACATAGAAAAAAAGAAACATTCTGCACTTTAACTCTGTATCACTCAAGAACCTTAATGCACAAATGTATACCGGCATCTCACTGTGACAGCTAACCAGCTTAGCTAGTTCTACTAAAAAAATAAAAAAGATCATCCAGCCTTGCCAAACTGAAAAGCAGCACTGTTTTCCTGGTTTTCAGAAGGTTTGGGGCACTTCTCAGCTAGGCCAGTTTGTGAAACTAGCACAAACCACCTTAGGCAGTTTTGTTCATCAGGACGGGATCAGATTTGTTGTCTAAAGGCACAAACCCTGTAGCATTTTTTCCCCCTTTCAATCTGTCTGACTGCTTGAATCATGGCTATGCAGGTCCTCATGAGGCCAGGTCTGCCCGACATAACCGCCTGATTTAAATCCCCGGTGCATGAGAGACCTGTGCGCCGCAGGAGCTGAGGAGAAATAATTACACCAGTAAAACAGCAGAGAGAAAGATAGATGGAGGACACTGGCATGGAGAGAAACAGACTGATCTGGATGATCATGTCCACTGGCTGATAAACTGAAAACAAGACTAAAGAATAAAAACTTTGGGGGATATTTATCCACAAAACTTCTGGATGATTGACTGTTAAAAAGTTGTTACCATTACATTGCTATGCAGCTG